GAGGGCAGGCCTGTAGCTACAGTGGGGCATTTCAGGGCCCTGCCCCCTCGATTAAAAACCCCGCCCCACAAATAGCCATGCCAGAAACCTTATTTCTGAGGAGAGACCTCACCCCACCCCGCTGCCTGTTGCTCATTCCCATGAGCCTTTGGCAGGGCCGGCCCCAGCTTATTTTGAGCCCTAGGCGAGGATGCCTTCTGGCCCCCCCCCCCCATGCGCCCACCACTTTTCAAAAATAAATGCATTTTAGGAAGAATAAAAAACAAAAATAATCAGGAAACTCCCAGAGTACGGGGCCAGGTGCAGTTTGGCACCCCTAAGGGCCAGCCCGCTCTAGGCGATCGCCTAGTTCGCCTAGTGAGTGAGCCGGCCCTGGCCTTTGGGAAACATGCAAAATAAACACCCTCTGAGCGGTTTCTCCCTAGAAATTGACACACTCCTCGGCCTGTCCCTTGAAAGGAAGGGCTAGAAACAGACTCGGAGCTTCCCCATTTAAACACACACATTCAGATTAATCGAATCAACCGTAATTTAACTGCCCCCTTAAAAATGTAAATGCCTCCCCGAACAAAAAGAGTCCCGGCTCTGGGCCTGGGCAGAGGTGTCCCTGATAACACAGTTGCACAGTGGCTGAAACTGCCCACTGCCAAATTGGTGCTCTGATGGGTTCAGGGGAGGAGGGTGGAGGATGTGGGGACGGAAGCCATCCTATCGGCTCCTGATGACCCTCTTTGCCTTGCAGCTGGGACCCTGGCTGGCCGTGGAGATCCCAGACTTGATATCCAAGGGCCTGATCGAGCACAAAGAGAAGTGAGTCCGGTGCGGCCTACGCCTGGAAACTAGGCCTCGGCCTGCTCTCTAGGCCTCTCCTCTCAACTCCCAACAGGCCCAGATCGACGCCAGGGACTTCTCTCGCTCTTTGCATAATGTCTGGACTTCAGTTTGCCAACCAGCCTGTGGCATGTGTCTCGCCAATAAAAACTGCCCCTTCCTAGGGGTTACTGTCTCGCCTCCAGTTTGCCTCTTTGAAAGGCGCACAGACTCTTTCAGCTGAGCTCCCTTCAATCTACCCCCAGCTAGCGTGAACCAGTTTGGTGTAGTGGTTAAGTGTGCGGACTCTAATCTGGGAGAACCGGGTTTGATTCCCCACTCCTCCACTTGCACCTGCTGATGTGACCTTGGGTCAGTCACAAGCTCTGGCACAGCTGTCCTTGAAAAAGAGCAGTTTGTGTCAGAGTTCTCTCAGCCCCACCCACCTCACAGGGTGTCTGTTGTGGGGAGGGGAAGGGAAAGGAGTTTGTAAGCCGCTCTGAGACTCCAAGTGAAGGGCGGGGTATAAATCCAATCTCTTCTTCTTCTTCTTCTTTATACCTGTTCAGCAGAAGTTTCTACTCTTAGCCTTGGTCAGAACCAGTGTTTCCTCTAAGCTGAGTTAGTATGAGCCAGATCACAGTTTTTTTAGCCTCTGACTCACACACTTTTGTCTTAGCTCAGGAAGGATGGCTCCAGAGCTAACTAATCTAAGAACATAAGAGAAGGCAATGTTGGATCAGGCCAATGGCCCATCCAGTCCAACACTCTGTCGCACAGTGACCAAAAATACCAGGGGCCAGCAGTGGGGCCAGGACACGAGAATCCTTTATGCAGAAGCCAAATCGCCCACTCACCACTTTCATGCCCGTAGCTCACAAAGTAGAATTCTTGCTCACAGAACTCCACAGCTTAGAGGCAGCATTGGTCAGAACAGGTAGCGTTTGCGTGAGAAGTCTTTCGAGAGCAAGCGGGTGCAAAGCCGCCGTTGGAGATGCAGTCCTGCAACCAAAATGCACACAGGGTTGTCAGCCTCCAGGTAGTGGCTGGAGGTCTCCCGTCACTGGCAGGGCTCTTTTTGTAGAAAAAGCCCAGCAGGAACTCATTAGCATAATAGGCCACACCCAACAGCAGGAACTCATTAGAATATTAGGCCACACCCCTGATAGCACAGCTCATTGGCACATTAGGCCACACCCCCCTGTTGCCAGAAGTGTGGTCATCCAGCCACACCCACCTTTTGCTTGTTATTCTGTTTACCTTGTTTGTTGTCAAAACCCAGGGCCTTTTTTTGTAGCAGGAACTCCTTTGCATGTTAGGCCACACACCCCTAATATAGCCAGTCCTAATGAGTTTCTGCTGTTGGGTGTGGCCTATTATGCTAATGAGTTCCTGCTGGGCGTGGCCAACTTGGGAGCCAGCCGGAACTCCGTTCCTGTGCGTTCCTGCCCAAAAAGAACCCTGCCCGTCAGTACAGCTTACCTCCAGGCAACAGAACGGTTTACTTGGAGAAAATGGCCACTTTGGAAGGCGGATCCTACAGCATTCTATCCTGCTGACACATTCAGTGATGCAGAAGTTCCGTAGTAGGACCCTAGTTCCAGCAAGCTAAACACCGTAGTACAGACCACAGTTTCCTAATAATTTGTCAAAATAACTTTGTGAATCATTAAGCAGAGTGCAACTCTCTTGTCTGCGTAGAAAAGACCTCTTTAATTCAGATTTGCATAGTTTGCAGAAAGCCAGGAGAGGAGGACGGTGGCTGTCCTTGTGGCCCTGATTCAGACCAGTGTAAAACTTCAAGCCTGCAATGTCTGCAGGGGATTAAGGGGTATTTTCCCCCAACTGAGAATCCTGACTCCCCCCCCCACACACACACACACAACTCAGAGAGCCAGTTTGGTGTAGTGGTTAGGAGTGTGGACTGTGATCTGGGAGAACCGGGTTTGACTCCCCACTCCTCCACATGCAGCTGCTGGTGTGACCTTGGGCAACTCACAGTTCTCTCAGAGCTGTTCTCTCGCCAGCAGTTCCTGAAAGAGCTCTCTCAGCCCCACCTACCTCACAGGGTGTCTGTTGTGGGGAGGGGAAGGGAAAGGAGATTGTAAGACGCTCTGAGATGCCGAATAAAGAAGAAGAAGAGATTGGATTTATACCCCGCCCTTCACTACCCAAAGGTGTCTCAGAATGGCTTACAAACTCCTTTCCCTTCCCCTCCCCACAACAGACACCCTGTGAGGTAGGTGGGGCTGAGAGAGCTCTGACAGAAACTACTCTTTTTCAAGAACAGCTCTTATCAGAACTACAGCTTGCCCAAGGTCATCCAGCCAGGTGTGAGTGGAGGAGTGGGGAATCAAACCTGGTTCTCCCAGATTAGAGTCCGCGCACTTAACCACTACACCAAACTGGCGGGGTATAAATCCAACTCTTCCTAAATTTCCTAATTTTGGTTATGGATTCTGCCACACACACTTCTAACTAGTCAGCAAGAGGTCTAGAGTGATCTCTTGAGTGGCTTTGTCCTTCCCACCCACTGAGAAGCTGTGTGGCGTAATGGTTAGAGTGTTGGACTGGGAACTGCATCTGGTAAAGCAAGCGTCGGCTCACAAAGCCTTATCCCCTGGATAAGTTCCATTGGTCCTTAAGATGCTACTGAACGCGAATTTTGGACTAGGAACTGGGAAGACCAGGTTCGAATCCCCACTCATGATATGGAAGCTTGCTGGGTGACCTTGGGCCAATTGCGCACTCTCAGCCTAACCTACCTCACAGGGTTGTTGTGAGGATAAAATGCAGGAGGGGAGAATGCTGTAAGCTGCTTTAGTTCCTGTTTGGGGAGATAGTTGGGGACCAACTTGGGGTGTAAATGAATAAGTCAAATTATTTCTTCAGTCATCTTTCCCTGGGAATAAACCCCACTGCATTTACTTCTGAGCAAGTATTTCTGAGGTTGCATAACAGTGGAGGGCTTTGCCTTCCTCTTCGGGAGGATCAGGCTTTTCTGTGGCTGGATGGGATCCAGTTGGTGTTTAATTAGATGCAAAGTGCTGCCGCAGTTGATCCTGCCAGCGGTTAATGTTTGCCGGGGTGTTAGGAGCCGGCCTTTAGTAGTGACTGGGTGATGAGTCAGGTGAGTCTCTGGTTTTTCACCCCGTCTTGCCAGGGGTAAACTAATACAGCCTTAGCAATGAATACAGGAGAGCGAGAGGCCTGAGATGAATGGATTTCTGCAAGCTGATTCATGTGGATCCGTTTACCAAGCCTCAGAAAGACACGTTTCTTGATGGCAGCAAGACCTAAGTCGCTTAGAAGCACTGCCCAGCAAGGAGAGGAGTGAAGCAGCTGGCAGCAGGAACAGATCAGAGACAGCCTAGCAGTGTGCCCATAGGGCCTGAAGTGTCAGGCTAGGACTGAGGTCTGAGTTCAGATCCTAGGACAAACCTAGCTGAGTGTTGGATCTCTGAAACCACACTGCTACAGGGCTGATGCAAAGTGGCAGATGGGACAATTCTCCTTGCATGCCGCCCGGGATTTCTGAGAGGAAAGTTGGGATACTAGTGCTAATTCTGAAAATGCTAATTAGATCATATGCAAGAAAGAAAAGTAATGGTTTGGGCTTTGAAAAAAAGATCTTATGTTTAAAAACTAAACACTGCAGGCAGAGTGCCAATCGTGTACATTCTTGCTTGAGAATATGCTCCCCTGAGCAAAACGGGAATGACTTCTGAAACGTGCCTGGGACCGGGTGACAAGTTCAACCCTATGCACGCTTCCATAGAGATGCAGCCTGTTTAATAAAGTAGGCGTTGTTGATCAGTTGACATGGCTAGGAGAAAATTGCGGCGCTGCTCTGCAAAACAACTCTTACTCGTGAGAAGGCCCGTTTAAACAAAGTGGACATTGCTACTGAGAATCGGGCTGCAGAGGGCGCTCCTTTGGCCACCCGCTTTGATATTTCTCTCTCCATTTAATTCCCGGGGAAACGCTTCTTGGTTTCCATAGCGACGCGAAGTGGGCGTGGCTGAGAAGAGAGGTGAATGCTGTCAAAAAACGGGGGGGAGGGAAGTCGAGCAATGCCGAGCTGCGCGCGCGCAAAGCTGCCTGGCGACGATCGCTGACGCGCCCCGGTAGAGGAGCGCGCCGGCGCCTGCGCGTTGCGGCCGCGCGAAGCCGGCTCCGGCAGGGCACCTGCGGGGGAGGAACAAAGATGGCGGCTTGTGCTGCAGGAGTTGTTGTTGCCATGGCGTCCTGCAGGAGGTGAGGCCCACACCTGAACTCCTTCGCAGGAGCCGGGTCTGTGTGAGGGTTGGGGCGGCCTGCTTGGTGGGGTTTGGGGAGAGGGCGAGCAACAAGCGGGCAGGGGACGCTGGGGAGGAGGAGGGTTGGGAAGCTGGGGATGCATTTGAGTGATGAGGCTGCTGATCCCTATGGGGTGGTCTCTCGGGCAGGTCCGTCTATGGAGCAGATTGCTTCGCAAATGCAGGTGATGCCCAAGTAGGCAAAGATAAGTGCTGTGTCTAAGTGCATATATCTGCATGCATTTGAGTGTGATAGTATTTAGCATTTGCTTAGTCCATTTCAAAATGCTTCAGATTTTCTTCTCATTGTTACAACAACCTTGTAAGGTAGGTCGGTGTTATCCCACCCCCACCCCATTATTGCAGGCCGGAGATGAGAGCTGAGATATAATTCGTGACAAGGCTTCTACCGAATTCATTCATTCTGTGAGTTCATAGCAGAACAAGGTTAGAACTGGGCCCCCAGAGCTGATGGACTGATAAGCTGTTTACGCATTAATATGTGGGGTAGCAAGATCTGGCGCACTGCTAGACTGTGGGATTAATTTATGGCAGATGACAAAAAAATCAAGTTTTGAAGTTAATCGGAAACGCTTTTGTGGGTTTTGGAAGAAAGAAGGGGGAGGGCTCCAGATGCGAAGAGCCTGATGCAGCAGTTAGACTGGGATGTGGAAGACCCGGTGGCGAATCCCCACTCCTCCATGGGAGTTTGCTGGGTGACCTTGGGCCAGTCACTCTCTTTCAGTCTCAACTCCCCCGCCAGGGTTGGCGTGAAGGTAAATGAAGGAAAACAGACCAACATAGATTCCATCTTGAGCTCCTTGTAAGAGGGAGTGGGATAAAAACCTACTAAACATGTGAGTAAAGCTATGTGTTGATCTGAAATTGGGATGAAAATTGGAAAAGATCCTGTCATTTGGTGTGATCTGTCAGTGGTACTCAGGAGTGACATGTGGCTCTTTGACATTCCACGTGTGGCTCTTCTGAGCACTGTTCCCCAGCATGGCCCTTGTCCCATGTTCCAGTAAAGTGGGCAAGGCTCTTGCCTAGTGGGGCTTGTGATTGGCAGGTGGTTCCCACCTTGAAATAGCCACCGCCAGACGAACAGGTAAGCTGCAAGCCTTCCTGCGATGCAGGCCTCATGTCCGGAATGGAAGTAAAATGTGGCTCTTTGGGTTGATGTTAATTGTGAATGTGGTTCTCCGTAAGTTGCAGGGTGGGTACCACTGTTATATGCACTAAACATGGTAGGGTTTTCCTGTGTACAGTGACAATTATTGGTATGTCTGTCTTATCTTTCCTCTTGGAATTGTATTTATATATATATTTGTATTAATAATGTTTAAGCATTTTTTAACTGAACTGGGATTTGATACTTTACTATTTTAGCCATTCCTCTGTACCTACTCTCTAGATCAGAGTCCCCAAGCTTTTTGAGCCTGTGGCCACCTTTGGAATTCCGATATAGTGTGGCGAGCGCATCCACAAAATGGCTGCAGGAGGAGGCAGAGCCAGCCCCAAAACATGTGCTGCAGTTTACCTTCCGTTGCACAGAAAATCCTTGTGCTATGGAGCAATGCTCCCACTAAGCTGGTGGAGTCTTGTGAGCAAAAATCCTACTTTGTGAGCTACTGGCATTAAGGTTGTGAACGAGCGATTTGGCTCCTGCATGAATTAGTTTGCTCTGGAGCCCTCCTTCCTGAGCAAAGACAAAAACGTGCGAGCCGGAGGCTAAAGAACTGTGAGCTAGCTCACACTAATTCAGCGTAGAGGGAACACTGCTATGGAGGCAACCGCCAGAGCAGCGCTTTAAAAAATCTGCACAGCCAATCAGAAGCGTCAGTGGGCAGAAGCCCCGCCTAGCCTCACTAACTTTCTAAAAGCACTTGGTGGCTGCCAGGGAAGTTGTTGACAGGCAGGGCTTTTTTTGTAGAAAAAGCCCAGCAGGAACTCATTAGCATAATATGCCACACCCAACAGCAGAAAATCATTAGCATATTATGTCACACCCCTGACAGAGCAGCTCATTAGCATATTAGGCCACACCCCCACACTACCAGAACTGTGGTCATCCAGCCATACCCACCTTTTGCTTCTTATTCTGTTTACCTTGTTTGTTGTGTTAGGCCACACACCCCGAATGTAGCCAATCCTGATGAGTTCCTGCTGTTGGGTGTGGCCTATTATGCTAATGAGTTCCGGCTGGGCGTGGCCAACCCAGGAGCCAGCCGGAACTCCGTTCCTGTGCGTTCCTGCCCAAAAATAGCCCTGTCGACAGGTACCATGGTACCCTTGGACACCACGTTGGCGACCTCTGCTCTGGATATAGATAGGCTGGGGGGGAGGTGGCGCACTGCCTTGCATTATTATGTAATCTATTTGTGTAATAATGTGTGGGGCTTTGGCTGGAGGAGGAGATGATATTTTTCTTAGGGTCATCCGTGAGAGGGATGGGATGGGGGGCATCAGCTGTAATGGGGCTTCACTTTGTAAGGGAAGGGGCTTTTGACGGACAGACGAGCTTTGAATAGGGGTGGGTGGGGCTTGGTTTGACGTTTGACCCCTATGTGGAGTAAGTGACTTTAAAGTGGGGGGGGGGGGGGAGAAGGCGCTTAGGTGTCTCGTCGCCTCTTTAAAAACATGCCAATGTAATGTACCAACAGATACCAGAGATGGCTTTTTCCAAGGCCCATCCACCAGCTAGGATAGCAATGTCAGGGGCTGTTGGCGGACCTGTCCCCATAATTGACATGAAATTCAATACCGCTGGAAGTGATGGTAAGCAAGGCATTTTTTTCTTAAAAGCATACAATGGCCACTGTAATGGATTTGAAGTGATGAGGTTAGTTCCAGGAAAACAGGCGTCTTGATGACTACTAGCTAAATGGAACCTCCAGGTTAGTGGCACGATACCTTTGCGTGTCAGAGGCAAACGGTAGGGGAGCTATTGCTCTTATGCTCTGCTTTTGGGTCGTCCGGAGGCTGACGGCTGACCACTGTTGGAAACACAGCACACGGCCGCATGGGTGCTTGGTCAGATCTTGCGAGACAGTGGTTAGGTTTGTGTGGAATGGGGAGCAGTGGCGTATGGGGGGGTTGTTCTCTGTTTTCACATTTAAGGTTCAGGGTAGCTGTTCAGAACAGGACCATCCCAATCTCCCCCTCACCCAGATGATATGGAGTTTTGGGCTGGGTTGCCATCCATATGCAGGTGACTCCCAGATGTCTCTGTATTTGGCCAAGGGCTTGAAAGCTGTGGTTGGTTGGTTTGAAGCAGAGCTGGCTGAACTTAAATCCATCTAAGGTGGAAGTTCTGTGGCTGGGCCAGGGGTATGTGGGGCTAGGGTGCCAACTCCCGGCTTTTGACGGTGTTCCCGTAACATCAGTGCCGGCTGTCAAGAGTGGGTGTGGTCTTGGATGCCTCCCTTTCGATGGAGGCCCAGATTAAAAATGTGGTTAGACTGGCGTTTTCCCATCTCCGCAATTGGTTCTCTTCCTATTTCACCCCGGCTTAGCCACAGTGATCCGTACAACGGTCCCCTTCATACTAGACTACTGTAATTCGCTCTACGCAGGGCTACCCTTGAGGCTGACCCGGAAACTCCAGGTAGTCCAGAATGCGGTGGTGCGTGTCCTTACAGGAACCCCTTTTACAGCCTATATTCAACCGGTGCTCCACCAGCTGCACTGGCTCCAGGCTGAATACCAGTTCAGGTTCAAGGTTTTGGTATTAACCTTTAAAGCCCTATATGTCTGGGACCAACATATCTGCGGGACCGCCTGTCCTGATACCACCCCCCAATGAGCATTACATTCAATGGATAACAACTTTGCTGGTGATCCATGGCCCAAAAAGTATCAGGGCTTTTTCAGCCCTGTCCTGGTGAAACTCTCTGCCGAGTAAGATCTGAGGCCTGTGGGATCTGATGCCGTTCTGCAGGGCCTGTAAGACAGAGATGTTCCGCCAGGCCGATGGCTGAGGAGAGCAACGGTTTCCATCTAGGCTGGCCTCCCTTCCTTTTCCCCATCCCCACCCCTTTCCCCTTCCTCTGTTGGTTATTCTCTATTTACTGTCCTGTATGATATGCATGAGCTGTATGAGCTGCGGTGGCTCAAGTGGTTAAGACGCTGAACTGCAGGCTGTGGAAGGCTGGTAGTTCAGCAGTTCGAGACCCGAGTTGCCGCATGACGGGGTGAGCTCCCGTCTCTAGTTCTAGCTCCTGCCAATCTAGCAGTTCGAAAGCAAGACATTGCAAGTAGATAAATAGGTACCACTTTGGTGGGAAGGTAACAGCGTTCCGTGCGCCTTGGTGTTTAGTCATGCCGGCCACATGACCACGGAAAGGTCTTCGGACAGCGCTGCCTCTTCGGCTTGGAAACGGAGATGAGCACCGCAACCCTAGAGTCGGACTCGACTGGCTTTTGAGCAAGGGAACCTTTACCTTTTTATGATATCTGTTGTCCCCAGCATAAGCAGCACTGTGTCGTGGTTCCCTTTTTATGTACTAATTTACCGGTTGCCAGCAGTGTTCCCTCTAAACTGAGTTTGTGCGAGCTAGCTCACAGTTTTTTAGCCTCTGGTTCACACATTTTTGTCTCAGCTCAGGAAGGATCTTTGTAGAGCAAACTAATTTATGCAGTAGCCAAATCGCTCACTCACAGATTTAATGCCAGTCACTCACAAAGTAGAATTCTTGCTCACAGGACTTCACAGTTTAGAGGGGGCATTGGTTGTCAATAGTCTTGCAAGAGTTGTTTAAATAATTTTAAAACTATGAACATTGTTTATATGACTATTGTTGTCACCCGCTCTGAGCCCTGTTGTACGGGGGAGGGCGGACTATAAAACTAATATATAAATAAATAGAGACATCTCAGCCTTGGCTATAATAAAGAGGCCAGCTGAATAAAGGGAAGCTATGGCAGAGGTAAGGAAAGTCTTAAGAACATAAGAGAAGG